GCCCAGCGTGGCGCAGGGGGAGCAGCACGGGGTCCGCTCCTACCTCCACCTCTTCTACAAGGGCTGCAGCGGGGCCAGCCCCGACGGACGGGGACGGGTCCTCGCCCCACGCAGCCTGGGCCCCCCCTCATCGGGAAGGTAAGAGAGACCCCAAAACCCCTTCCTCCCTGGTGCCCCGGACAGGCACCCCCCGCCCGCGTCATGGCACCTGGGTGGCCCTGTCCCCCGGGGAGCCTCTCCTCGGGGACCCTGTTCCTGCTTGTGGGGGCGGCCGCGCTGGCTGCCAGCTCCCTGCTGCCCCCGGAGCCGGAGGGGATCGGGGAGGAGGAGGTCGTGGTGCTGGATGTGCAGGCGGTGCGGTGCAACCACGCGCCGGGGACATGCCGGCGGGCGGGCACAGCGCTGTGCGCGGCGGCCGGGTGCCATCGGGCTCCTCTCCTGTGCGCTGGCCCCGGGAAGAGGAGCAGCAGCTCTTGCCCATCCCGTGTGGCAGACCCCCAGCCGCAGCCCCCTGCCGCCTTCACCCCGGCAGGGACAGCGGGGCCCTTCGGCGTCTCCCATGTTCACGGTGTCCAGCCCCGGCGGGACGCCCGAGGCCGGGGAGGTAACGGGGGATGCCCGGCACGGGGCCAAGCCGCGCTGCAGCCCGGGAGCCGGCTGGATCACCTGGAGCTGGTTTGCGGCCAGCACTGCGGAGCACCCGGCTCAGTCCCGGCGCGGCCCGGCAAAGCTGCGATGGCCAGGAGCAGGCACAGGGGGGTCAAACACAGCCGCGGCCCCTACCCTCAGCACGGTGCTGAGCCGTGCCGAGCTGGACCAAGCCGTGCCCAGCCTGCACGGCAGAGCGTGCCAGCGCCCACCCAACGGCACCCGGGAGGGACGCAGGCGTTCGCGCAGGCCACCGCTTCCCCGTTGGTGCTCTTTTTTGGTAAATAAAAGACCTGTGACGTTTCCTCATGCGCTGTTCTCTCCAGTTGCCCGGGGCGAGGCCTGGCTGTGCCCGGGAAGAGCGAGGCAGGCGAGAGATCCCCGCGGGCAGTTCGACCCCTCGGCCGGTGCTGGGCTTGCCGTCCAGGCTCCCGGCAGCGTGCCAGAGCCGGGCATCACATTAACGTGGTTACAAGGGCGCGCGGCGCAAGGAACAGTGCTTTGCTGGCTCGCCAGGCTTCCCCCCGCTGCAAAACCTCAGCCCTGCCCGCCCTCCGAGCCCCCCGCACCCTGCGGGCCTCTGCCCGCGCGTCCCTCCCGAAGGCCTTTGAGCGCTATTGGGAAAATCGCTGCCAGAGAGGAAGCCACAGGGAACTAAAAATAGCCCCGGCGCGATCCGGTAAACACAGCCGCCAGCCTCGTGCCGCCCAGCAGAGCCCGTTGCCAGCCCGGGGACGGCAGCAGCACCACCCCGGCTCAGCGGAGCATGCCCGGCCGCTGGAGGCTGCACGGGGGAAGCGGTGATGGCCCAGTCTCTGCCGACGGGCACCGTGCCCGGGATCTCCTCCCGCAGCCAAGCGCCCGGCCTGGGGTGCAAAAGGGGCTGGGAGGTCAGGTTATTTACAGCCCCGCGCTGCCGCTGAGAGGGGGACGCCCCGGAGAGCCGACGGCACGTGCAAGTCCTGGCGTTCAACCAAAGGTAGGCAGATGGAAGGAGAACAGCAACCGGGGCACGCAAGCGCCGCTTGGCTCCGCTCCTGCTTCTCTTCCACAGGGCTGCGGCGCGCGAGGCCACGCGGGTCGGGGACCGCAGAGCTGGCCTGGGCCACGAGAGCGGAGCTGGCAGCCCCGGCCCCGCGCCGCGG